TCAAAATACTTCCACACACAAAACTAAATATCAACTCATTAAGAAAAACTTGGTATTAACTTCATTTTGTCGAGGAGTTGCCTTGAAATATTTACATGAAATAAAGAAATATTTGCATTTTTGCTCCTGCTGCAAAGGCTTCCAAGTAGAATGTTATTGCCTGGTTTACAGTTTAGCTACACTGGACGCATTAGGCGTTTTATAAGTGGTCTCAAGTATACTGCCCTTTGAGTAATAGTCCAAGAATAATCTGGTGACTATTTAAACAGCTCTTTATAAAGAATTTCTACCTACTGGGAATCAACTGTCTTGTTGCCATCATCTTTCATTGTATATACTCTGCATGTTTAAGTAAATTCATTACAGTGTTCAAGCTCAACAGTGGTTTTTAGAAAAGACACAAATGAGAAAGCCTTGGAAATCCCTACTGCTTGTTTAAAGTGAAGATGGCACCTCCTGTCATCTTTTTCCTCACGAACATCGACTTGCTTCGTCAGGCTGTGCCGTGGGTTTGTGGTTTAGGGGTGTGCGCCGAGACCTGCAATTGGAAATGAGCTTTAAACTCGTGCCAGGGGCACGTCCAGGGCAGGCCAAGCAGAGTAGCAAGGACATGGCGGTTTGGGCCACTTCTCTGCAAAGAATAAAATGTTGCTGGTCTCCTTGCTGGGTGGGTAAACTGCAAGAGACCAACACTTGACTTCTGTTGTTGTATTTCCCCACGTTATTTCAGTGGTGAAATTATGGGGGTTTGTCTTGCTGCAGCTTCAATGATATGAAATGCAGTAGCTGACCAACCTGTCCAGTCTGCATTTATTATCCCTCCAATAAAGTCTGCATTTTACTGTGAAGAAATGAATAGCTGTTCAGCCCCAGGAAGGTACCATTGCTCCAGTTTATGTATATCATAATTAGGAATTGAACAGGCAGAAAACTGGTGAAAGATTTTATATTTCCTTATAGTCCTTCAAAGCCAGTATATCCTCTATTTATTTTTTTGTGGAATAACTTAATCTTGCATCTGAGGAAACATGCATGTGACTGAAGAGCATTCGTTATACCCATTTGTTTGTGTATGCTCAAATAGTTTGTGCTGATATTTTTGTGTGTGTGTACAAAAATATTTTCTTGGCATGCATGTGTTTTGTCACGAGTGCCTAGCTTGTGCCTGCTCCAGGAGCTTCAGGTTTCTGTTAGGGGGTCGTCTTAAAATGTTGTCATAGTTTAAAAATGTTTCTGTTTCATTATCTTCTGGAGGTGGCTTTTGGTAGTGGTTGGGTTCGGAGACCTTGGGGTAAAGTTCTTAATAGAGGGAAATTCTAAACTTCCTCTGCTGTAAGAATTGGCAAATGTTCTGGTTGGAACATAGAGCTCTTCTGGGTAATATCCACTTGAAAGGATAAATAATTTATGTTGACACATGAATGTGATTATCAGAGTCTAGAGCTGCTCTAGTTCTTGTTGTTACTGTAAGGCTGAAACACAAATCAGTTTTATTTTTCTTTCCAATGTAAAGGCTTGTACAGTATATGAAACAGGGTGGTGGTTTTTGTACATTTACAAACTGGAGGAGGCTGGGGCAGCCCAGGGCTCGCAATGACTTCTGGAAGTGAAACGTGTACAAAATGTTGCTGCAAACGGTGTCTGAAATGGTGGGGACACATCCTTCAGGAAAGGCAGATGATGTTGCTCAAACCCTGTTTGTCATGTTCGTTAAGAAAAAAGGCACCGAAAGCTACAAGTACAATATTTCATATGTTTTATATAATTACATAATCTAATATAGTGTGTATTACGTAATTGTATTCATGCACATATGTCAAAAGGCATAATTAGTGGTCTGTGTAACTGCGCCTTGGCGGTTCTTAGTACATCAAAGATAGAAATTTGGAATCTAGGGCTTTGCAGCATGTGAAGTAGCATAATTTCTGGTTCAGAGTTTACTAGCTGTTAAACAGGGCATGGCCTAAAAATAGACTCTGTCTGTGGAGAAAAGATGAGATTCTGCAGGGCTGAAGATGTGCAAAAGTAGCATTTATTTGTGTGGACAGCCAGACGTGGCTGCACCACGGGTTCTGGTGGAGAGGGCCCCTGTGTGGAATATGGGATCACAGAATCATGGAATGCTTAAGGCTGGAAGGGACCTCCAGAGGTCATCTAGTCCAACCCCCCTGCACACGCAGGGTCACCTAGAGCACGTGGCACAGGACTGCGTCCAAGCGGGTTTGGAAGATCTCCAGAGAAGGAGACTCCACAACCTCTCTGGGCAGCCTGTTCCAGTGCTCTGTCACCCTCACTGTGAAGAAATTCTTCCACAGGAACTTAAGGAAAAATTTCTTAACAGTGAGGGTGACAGAGCACTGGATGTCAGCGTACACGGAATCACAAAGCAGTTGAGCTTGGAAGGGACCTTTGGAGGTGATCCAGTGCAAGCCTCTGCTCCCGGGATCACCTAGAGCACGTGGCTCAGGGTTGTGTCCAGGCGGGTCTGCAAAGCTTCTCTGGGCAGTTGGTGTTTTCTATATTTACAGTTCTAAATGCAGCAAAATAAAATGAGCAGATCCTACAAAAGCACCTGAGGCAGGCAAGGCTGCTCCATCCAACTTTTAACATATTTCAAAGGAATTTTTCCTTTTGGGAAAAAAATATTGAACATACTGTCCTTTAAAGGAAAATAGAGTTATAAGTTATTAGCAAGTGGTATTCAAGAGAAATGCCATATATATGGGAACTACATATATTTATCTAGAAAATATTAGATGGTAAAAGATAACTGTTTTAATACACATAAAATGTGTATTGGGGTTTTGATTGGGGTTTTGCTGTTATCATGTTGTTGTACACTGCCCTCCCATGTAGATTTGTATGTTTGTCAATTTGAAAATTTGGGACTCTGAATAATTTGTTCATATAAAGATCCTATTTGTGAGTGTACAGATACAAAATTGAACTATGGTGTCACTCTGATTTGGATCAGTGGCTCCTTCAGGCAGTGGATGTCACCTCTGTGTACAGCTCTGCTCAGTGACTGCACTCCTAAAATACTGCACAGCCCCTTCCTTCCTCCACCCTCTACCAGTGACCAAATTAAACTGTGTTTCAAAATCCGGTTTGAAAGATCTATATGCTTGTATGTCTTTCAAACATATAAAACAATAAAATACAAGACAATATATATGTTTTAGTCTGCTTATTTTTTTCTAGATCAATTTCTTTAGATATGCTAAAGAAAAATATAAGAATTTAAAGGAAGAGTCATCTTGTTCCTAGTTTGCTTTATCCCTAAGCATTACTAAATTTTATATGTGTATCTTGTGAACTTTAATGGTTCTCTCCTTTTAAAAATACTGGTTTCAGATTTGTATTTTAACCTTGCATAAAACTCTGTGGACAAATGAAACAATATCTTTTTCCTGCTCACTGAAGATGGAGAGAACTTCAGTGTAGGATATGAATGCCTGGCATGGCATATAGATAAAAGTAAAAGCTTTTGACAACTATTACAAAGGAATCTAAAAGGAGCTTCCTACTGTGCACTGTCTCAAAAAGGAACAAAGAGTTCTTGATATTTTATTAAATTTAAAACATTTTAACACTTTTCGCCAAGATGCAAGTCAAGTGAAATCCAATATTGTACTAGAGAATGAAAGAATGCAGTGATTTTTTTTAGCACATCTGTAAACTTTGAATCATTATTTTGCTGGAAATACAAATAGATAAAGAGTATTAGAAAACACTTACACACATTCTGTAGTTCTGGACTTTCTGATTTTAGCTACCACCAAAATGCTTGTGCAGTGATTTTCAGTTGAATCTTAGTAAGCGAAAATATGGAACTTTTTCTTGTTACAAACTTCAGTGTTTTGCTTTGTCAAAATTGTATCACTCCAAGATGGAATTGTGTAGGCTCATCAAAAATAAATAGGGGAAAAAAAAAAAAACTCCATACATTGCTTACCATGTGTTAAATATATAGATTGCCCTATACTCATGCACATGGGAGACTGACTAGACTGTTGTCCAGAATAAGTGTGGAGTTTTAATTTTCTTAAATGCACTAATCTAGTCTAGTGTTCACTTGGGCTAATCTTGTGCTTTTTTATCATAATTCTTTCTGATGCCCATTTGATTGTTTTCTTGTATCAGATTGTGAGCAGGTAGTGAGAAGTCACTTCCAAAAAGTAGCTAGAAATCTGATCCTAAATTAGCAATCCAATTAGCCATTTTGAAGTTAATGCTGTCCCTAGAGACTCTGAATGATGGAATCCTTCAAATGCATGTTTGAATATTGCTTTGCAAATATTCTTTCTCAGTGGCATTATGTTACTTGGTTATGTTTGCAAGAGCAGGTCCTAGGTTTTTTTATTTTGATTTGCTACATGTTGTCGTCTTATTTACAAAATTGCATTGTGGAATTTGGGGGGGAAGGGTTAGTGTGATGGATTATGTGAACATGTGGTACTTGCTAAAGCTGTTGTTATAAATTCTTTACAACTGAATAAGAGGTATTTATTTGCATGGGCTTTTATCTTTCACATTCATTTTCTTTCTTTGCTTGTGTGTGTTTTCTGTGTCCTTAGGGGGAAGAGGAGTGCTGTGGGAAAACCATAGAAATCAGCAAGCACTTTAGTTGTACTAGAAAGTATAGGGCGCTAAGAGAAGCTTTAGTAACTGGGTGGGGAGGAGAGGTTGAAATATTTTACATTACGACTAAATGTTTTGTCCCTTATGACTAAATGCTTTGTCTCTTCCAAAGCTAATAGTTTTATTTTTTTCTTTTAGTTCTGTCACTGTTGTTGTTCTCTGCCTTCAGAGAATTTTCAGTTCAGTTTTTCAATTCAGCTTGAAGGGGATGAATGACCTGACACCTTCCTGGGGGTTTAATATGTTACATCCGCAGTTTTTCCAGCCTCTGAAAGTATTTATTTTGTATTTTAAAATGTTGTAGGGCACTTTAATGGTCAATGATGTAAGTATTTAAAATTGATTTTTTATTATTGTAGGCATTGGATCAAGACAGGACTGCACTGCAGAAAGTGAAAAAATCTGTGAAAGCAATATATAGTTCAGGACAAGGTAAGGCTTTGTTTCCAGTTTTGCATGAGAACCTGAGCATCTGAGTATGAGTTTGAAAAGTCTGCCTTTCAGTTTACCCTGTTCAGGTATATAGAATGCTATATAGATGCTTATCTGTAAAGTAGTATTTTGAGATTCAGCAATTTAAAATGTTCTTTTTAGGGGTTGTATGTGGAAATAATGTGTTCTCCAGCTCTTTCACCCTCATTGCTTTCCACCCGGACACTTTCTAATCAGCTGGATGTAAATATTTGATTAGAAAAATACAGTCCCCATTCCCCAGCACTCATAATCGTGTTAAGCATTTTTTCCTTCTTTAGAGCAGTTTCTTAGTAGCCTTTATTGAAAAAGAAGATTGTTTCTGTGCTGCTTGTTTTGTCCTGTTAACTTATGTTTTTGGACTGTCTTTTTATGTGTTACAGATTCTTTTCACTTCTGCCAGTCACTAATATTGTTGTTCCACTAGCACCATGAGCTTTTCCAAAAACTTCAGTTGATGACTAATGTTTTCTCAATAGATTATGAAGCTAGATTGCCAAGTAAGGATAAAACTTGATAAATGTTTGTTTAGTTTTACACTTTTTTAGTTATTGAGATACTCTAAGCAGCAATATCTATTTGGAAGTACATTCTTACGTAATTTCAGAACCAATACAAATCTTAAAATGTATGAAAAGCTTTCTGTCTGTTCTGAAATATATAAATGACACCAGAGATTATGGTTACCCATTGACCTGAATTTTGTGATAAAACCTGATAGGACTTTAAAGCCTGCCAGTAGTTTTGAAAGCCCTATATAAGTCATATTAGCTTATGAACTATTTACATTGAGTAAAAAGCAATAAAAAACTGCTTAATCATTTTATATGGCCCCCTTGGCATTTTAAGAAGGACCACAGAAAACTATGCAGCAGTTTTTCAGTGTTTTCCTTTGTTTTTGAAGTATTTTTTATTAAAGACTCAAGCTGGTATAAAATCTTTTGAATAAAGAGAGCATTTTATGTAATACTCTGGCTCCCTCTTCAGAATGTTATTGTGATAGACTGTGGTATAATTTGGAAGACATGCACAGGAAGCAATTTGTACAGCAATTAATAAACATAATTAGCAATTAATAAACATAATTTTTGCATCCTTCTCATGTCTGTCATTAGAAATGTAGAAATGACTCATCTCATTCTGCCCCCCACCCCCGACCAATACATTCTGAGCGGGAAAGCACTGGTGAAGAAATCCATTGTAACTTACAAATTGTTGCCTCTCTTTTGCCCTCTCTGGCTGCTTCTTTATCTATCTTGTTGTTCATTTCTGTAAGATCAGATTTCATGTGTAGGTAGAAACCTATCCTGTGGGAATGATGCTTGCATGTAATGGAGAGTCCGATCTGACTAGCTTTCACGTAACATTTGGAGCCAGTTGTATTGGCAGCAGATTTCACAATTAATTTTCAGCTTTTCAGTAGTTCTTTTTTGTTGATTTGATGGTGTGGTTTCCAGGTACAATCAAAAGAATAAACGCAGTAGTGAAATAAAAATGCAAAATCAACACAAGACCAGAGATGAAGACTGGAGACACTGGGCTAGACAAGCCATTCGTCTGGTAGTAGATACTTAGAGAGTAGCACGAGAACAGTGCAAAGGGAATGAAGAAAAGAAAAAAAATTACAAAAGAAAACTTTTGTACTTTCTCAGGTTGAAGTGATATGAGGGGCTGGATTTATCCGAGTCAGGTGATACAATGATGTTTTATCCAACCGATTTTAATTCATGTAAACTTTTTTTTCCTTCTCCTTAGGAGGAAGAAGAGGGGAGTTGGGGCTGTAGGGACCAGAACTGCTTTCAGTATTCAGAGTTTAGACACAGCATCGTGGTATTATCTGTTGCATCCTGTGTTTCTTTCTTAATCATTTTTAATAATCAGCTTTATTTTATTCCTACTGAATAATTGAGGTGATATATTGCAACTCGGATCTTTCTCAATAATAGCTAATTCACAGTCATTCCTTCAAATTAAGAGTATTTTCCCTGCATTACGCTACCTGAGGCACACTCAGCCATTATGCTTACGCTTCAGCCATTCAAGATAAGACTTTTCATTTAACTTCGGAGCTACCTGGATGTAAACTTGTTGCAATAGACTGACCCATCAGTGTCATCAGATAATTAATGCACCTAGTAGGGACTTCCAGGGTGAGATGTGTCTGACGTCCTGTACAGTTGAACTGTGACCTGAATGTTAGGGAAATGATGAGACATTCAGCTGAAATGTGGATATCGTCAGTGTAGGCCTCTGTGTTAGGACAGGTTAATCTCACCTTCATAGTCAGCTTTTGTTTTTATTCCCCTGAGTAACTTGGTGATTTTTATTTTCTTCATAAAATATTAATGTTATTCTCTGATTCATAAATATGCTGTTAAACTCTGTGAGCCTTAGCACAGTTCCATACAGGGCTTCACAGGTGACCTCCCTCTAAGGAAAGCTAGGTGCTATTTCTTCCTCCTTACCCTGGTTTTTAACCAGTTATTTGTCTAGGTGAGGCTGATCCTTGTTTAACTTTGTTTACTTAGTTCCTTATATTGACTTGGTTGGGAGAGACTTGTTTAACTTGAATTTCTCTTGTGTGCCTCCTTGTTGACTCCTTGAACAAAACATCTGTACTTTGATCTAAATGACTTGCTACTATTCATTTAATCAGCTTTAATGAGTTCTAGCACTCACAGCACATTTAATATAAAAAACCTCAGAAACAGCCTTAAAATAAATCTGCCATGAGGACTTCCCTAAGCACGGTAGCAATGAACTTGGCTGGAAAATAAGTCTTCTAGTATTGTTCATCTAGTCTAAAGGTTCTTAAAACTGCAGTGATGTAGAGAAGCCACAGACTCATGGAGATGCTCTTTGCTCTAGATAAGTTCAAAGGAGCGTTTTACTTGCTTTTTTCTTCAGCAGCCTAGGCCTGGAAGGCTTTATTGTCAAGTCAGGAGACAAATGGGATGGTCAAAGTCTCTTTAATCTTTTCGATTAGACTTTTAAACTTCAGCTTTTTGAAAAACATTTTCTTATATTAGGTAACTCCTGTCTTCTTCAGCCTTGCCAACTTCCTTGCTGTTTTAAAAGTCTTGTTAGGCTTTTTGTTTGTTTGTTATTCAGATGTTCAAGAAGTAATTCTTAATAATTAAGCAGTCTTCAGGTTTCTTTGGGTGTAATTTGAGGATCATCCATTCACAGGAAAGCATTGTGCTTGTGCAATGCTCTTTTGAAAGCTACTTGCTTCATTGCCTTTTTCTGCCCTTCAGTGTTTGGAGGGGATCATGTCTGATCAAAACTGTTCTAGACAAGGTAAAAACTAAGGTTTCAGTTTTAGTGATCTGCTTTCTAGGTGCACTATATACAGATTTTCCTTCTATATGTTTTGTCAGGACCACTGTGACCTCTCTCTTCTTGCCTTTACAAGGTCCTGGCTTCCCTGACAGACCAACCTAGGGGAGGGAAGGGTTGAGGAGGCATCTCTGTCCCCACGCACATCTGCCTCGAAGGGAGCATGGTCTGGTGGGACCGTGGGACATCCAATAATGTCTGTGATTCTGGAACCCCTTGGGGAGCTGCTCAAGGAGGCTGGTATCTCTCTGGGGAAACTGCTCCATTTTCATCTCAATATTGAGCTTTGTTTACAATATTGGGAAGACATGAGCTAGCTCTGGGCAGAAACCCCTATTGTTTCTATGTCCTGCTCTCCGTGTGTGTCTCCGAGGTTATTAAGTCCTTCCTACAGTAATTGTATCTAAGGAAGTAAACATCAAGCCATGCACATTATTACCACCTTCATCTGGAGGAGATTCTGTTAGTGCACTGGGAGGTCATCTGTGTGGTTGCGTGAGGCACCAGCGGTGACGTTCAATGTGCTCTTTGCTCTGGCCATGCAGCCTTTCATAGGCTGTGTTTTAGCACAGGTACACTGACTTTATTGTTCATTTACGTGCTTTTGAGGTCAAGTAATGAAATACCCTTCCTCTTCATGAATTGCTAATATTTTTATTCTTTTTACAAGATTTATGTAGATGTAAAATGTAAAAATTGAATCTAGAGGTGCTACTCTTGAATTTCTTGTGTATTTGCTTGGTAACTTTAGAGTAATTCCTTTTACTTTTTAATTGAAGAGTCTCATGTCTAGATTTTAGGTGATTTATGATCTAAAATTCCTGAGAACTTCCTATACATTGTTCTAAGATAATGATTTGCTTCCTGCTTCCATTTGCTTTGTCTTTCTACAGATACAGGAAATATTCTTGCTGAATTTTTTTTTCCATCTGTTTTGAAAAAAAATATTTTGACGCATCTCCGCTTTAAGAAGCAAAACAAGAAAGTCCTTAAAATCAAAATACTAGGAAATATACTGGAGTTGGAAGTGCTTCCCTGGCAAGAAGAAAGATTTCATGACCTATTAGATTTTCTTCATTTCCAGCCTTGCTGAGTTATCCCTCCTTTTCCCTCCAAACAGTAGGGTACATTTGAGCTTTACTAGCTCAGGAGTGTGCAAGCCAAGGCTCCCTCTTAGGATAGCGTTTCTCTGTATATTTGTGCAACAGCTTTTATATCAAAACAAAGCCCACATTTTATTGTTACCTCTTGATTCCTTGCTTTTCCTATTAAGCTATTTGATTAAAAACATATGCTCATCATGGAACAGTTCTATTCAATAAAAACATGGTATTGGAGTTCCATATTAACGTATGATTAATTTTGGCCTTTGAGAAGCTGCATGTTAATTTCTGATGTTACATTGTGACTTGTCAAATGTTGGGGGGGTATTTCAGTTAGTTAAGCATTAAGATTTTTTAAGTCTTCTGGTAGGATTTTAAGACTTTTTTTTTTGATCTTTAAATCAGTGTTGTTTTGGGTATCCTTACTCTTTTAGAAAGATTCCTGTGTAATTCTTAATTAGCTCATACTTTGTGTTGTGCGTAGCAGGACATTAGTAAGTTGTTTGACTGTTAAATGTTGGCTTAATATTTAAAAAAAAAAAAATCCTTTGAGAGAATTGAAGGTGATCAAGACTGTTTTAAAGGGCTGTACTAGCAGATTTTCTGCAGAAAGGAAGTAAAATGCGAGATGCAAGCAAAAATATGCAAAGAGATGCCTGAAATGAGGAGAAACATTGACATTATTTGTTTGGCATTATTTGTTCTGTGTATGCGTGTTGCCTTAATAGCAATAAACATTGAATCAAAATAGATGATTGTAAGTTTGAACGTTTATAAGATGAGGCAGATGTATTTAAGTTTTCCTTCAGCTGATCTTATATTGATATTATTACTTTATTGAACATTACTGAGCTTTTTTATTCATATTTATGTTCGATAATGTTGAACATTCAATGTTACGTAACTTGCAGGTGTTTCCGAAGAAAAATAAGCCTATATGCTAAATAGGCCTTTTTGATACTAAAATATCTCAACCAGTTTTAAGTATATATGTATACTTATTTGTGGGTTTATTGAAAGAATGGTGCTTGTCGATTGTTATTATATTGCAGTATACGTTCGAGCAGGATGAAAGTAATAAATGATTATCTACTAGCAAGTTTTCTGATTTTTAATTTTCTCTCTTTGCAGATCATGTTCAAAATGAAGAAAACTATGCACAAGTGCTAGATAAGTTTGGAAGTAATTTTTTAAGTCGGGATAACCCCGATCTTGGCACGGCTTTTGTAAAGTTTTCCACACTTACTAAAGAATTATCAACGCTGCTGAAGAACCTGGTAAGGAAATTCAAATTTCTTTATTAAAAAAAAAAAAAAGGCTAAAAATAATGTACAGTGGAACAACTTCACACTGCTGATGACTCGGGCAGTGATTTTAGAGATCATTTCAGTTAGGAGGTTTCTGTTTCTAAGAAACTATGAAGATTATCTCTGAAGATTGTTGTTATGCACATTGTGTTTTATGCACATTGTGTTATTCTGCTATTTGTGGTTTTTTTTGGTTGGTTTTGTTTGCTGACATTTAAGAATTGAGAATGATGCCTCAGTTTACATTTCTGAGGAGTTGAAGGTGCTCTGTGAACCTCTTTGTGGAACTTAATTCTAAATCATTCCCTGGCATCATGTCTCTCCAGTTAAAATCCAGCACCATTAGTTGTTTTGAATGATTAGTTGTTTTATTTTGAGGGGTGAAAGATTAATGATTTAGGAAGTATGCTTAAATTCTGTTAATAGTATGCTTTCCCTCTGCAAGGCATCTGTTGTTTAAGCATTAGGCCTCTGAAGATAGTCTAAAGCCTTTTCTCATATAAAGTTTATTTTAAGTCTTTTACTTCTGAGAGCAGCATAACAAGAATGTAGTTATAGCCAATAGATCTTTGATCACTGAAACTAATCAAGCTACTTTTTCTTGTGAATTCATATTTTGTGGTTTGCATTGACATTTATTAATCCAATTCAGAAGGTTGAAGATCCAGTTTTATGCTAGTTTTTATAGCTGGGCATAACTCTGAGGTTCCTCTTCTGTAAGGTGCAATAATGTGGTTGCACTGCAGTCTTTCTTTGAGCTGTAGCTTTGGTGGGGCCTTTTCTTCATCCTGCTGCTTTTCTCTTGGAATTAGGCAGAAGGAAATGATCATTGAGAGATTTTTCCCTTACATTAAATAAAGTAGATGCTAGCCTGGAATGCCAGAAACCTTCTGAGTCTCAAAAGTTGCTTCCTATTCACCACCAGGTGAAGTTAAGCATGTTTTGTATGATTACCTAGGCCTTGCTTTTGTAAGAAACCGAGATAAGATTAATTCTATTTTTTAACGTGAAAATAATGTGTGATACAGTGAGATCATGACTGCTATAGAAAACATGCATATTTATCCCTGTGTAAGTAATGGAATTTGCAGCATTAGAAATTCATGGTTTGCTGTTTTCTTAAGTATAATTAAAAGGAAAGCTTTATTTTTATTCTTTAACTATTGATTGTGTAACAAGATCAGAGGCGTTTCAGCTTTCAGGCCTGTGCACAGCATCAATGGGCAGCTTGACCTTTTCAAGACAGTCATTTTCTAAGTGTGTTAAAGCTGTACACTTAAGATTCAATTAGGTGATGTACAGCTTCTCTTTGGAGATTAAAAATACATATTGTGGGTAAATTCATATGTAATAATTGTACAACAGGGACTTTGCTTATCTCTACATACTGGGCACTATGTTTTTCTCAAATATTTTAAGTATTTAGGAGTTTTTGGCTGAATTCCCTTTGCTTTTTAAATATGCATTCTGTATTTATATAGAAAAGTTGTCTCTGTGTGTTAGGCATTTTTATGGGAGAAAAAAAGTAAGGAAGCGGTTTTAACTGCTTTCAATTTTTAAAATGATCACAACAAGAAAAGGCCTTTTCAGTTGTAATACTAGTAATCTTGCATGCACAAGCAGGGCTTCAAGCAGATCTGCATTTTAGCATCTTAACTCTTATGTTCTACTCTGTCCTTCAGTTATTTATGGGTCAGGGAGCCTTCTGCTGGAAGAAGGGCCCACGTTAAAACTTGGTCCGTGCTCAAACATGTGGCTCTGGAGAGCAGTCCTCAGCAAACAGTATCCTACAGCTCCCACGTAACTTTTCATACTTGGCTTTTTTGCACCTATAGTAACACACAAAATGGGATGTCGCTTCCTTCCTTGGCAAGCTGTTAATTGCTGCCTTGAGTGTTGCCCCTTCTTAGTCACCTGTTTAGCTATCGAGGGACCATCTCACTTATCCTAGGAAAGCTTCATCTTCCTTGGAAGTCCATTACGTGGCTCATCCAACGTTTGCTTGGACATTTGTGTCTTGTTCTTTAAGAGCTTTCTTTTATAAAGTTTGTTGTTACTCTGGGCCATTTTGGTCTCCTTTATTCTTACTTTTAGCACACAATTCAAAAATCAAAATTTTAAAGTGCGTTAAATTTGAGAGACAATTTGAGACTAGAACCCAGATTTTTTAGAGGCTTTATGTTGGATTTCATGCAGTGCTTCAGCAAGATATTTTAATTCTTTTCCATAGCAAGTTAGATTTTTTTTTTTTAAGTAGTGGTTATTGAGACTTATTGAGGTTTTTTTTTTTATTTTTTTTTTAGCTGAAACTGCAGTCATTCAAAGCTACATCATGCTAGTACCATGCTATTCTGTAGTCCATGAAGCAGTATCTAGATTTTTTTTCGAAATTTAAAATATGCCATTCCCTTCTCTCTCTTATTTAACAGTTGCAATTGGACAAGCAAGGTCATTTTATAGATGTTTCAGCATTTCAGCATTTTAAAAATACTTAACTGTTTGTCTGTCTTTTCTCCCCCCAAAAAAAAAAAAATTGTTCTGGCTTGTTGACCTATTGTCCTTCTTGAACATAACTCTGTTTAATAATGCAGTTACACAGGAAACAAGATATTTATAATACTGGAATAAAAAATAAGGAGTTAAAATGTAGTGAATGCACTGAAAAAGCAGGTGAGAAGGAGGAAGGTATATAATTTCATTGATGAAAACACCAGAGTAGGTGCTGAGGCTTATATTAATAAAATTACTTGAAGAAATAGAATTGGGTATTAAGGTGAGTGACAAGTGAATAGGCACTTTTTGCATAGAGCTTATTTTTGCTGGCTTATTTGATAAGTGTACAGCAAAATAAGTGAGTTGTCTGTAAAGACATGGAGAAGAATAAGGCATAAGTAAATACAGAATAAGGAATGAGCTGTAAAGGAACTGTGTTGTAGTTGGCCACCATCAATACCAGAGCACTGGCATAAATTTTCAGTTATTTGATAGTCCCACCGTAATCTTTCTCTGCTTTTTACTTTGCTGTTCTAAGTTTTCCTTCTTTATGCAGTTACTCATCATACAGTGCAAAAAAGGTGTATGAAAGCCACGGTGTGTGAAACTGAGCGTGGGAGCCTCTTCTGAGTTGATGTAGCTGAGGTGGTGGAGGAACGTTGGGACCACTCGCAGATGACTTGTTTTTCCAAAATCTCTTGTGCAACGTGACCTTTAGCAACAGTTGAAATCTGTTCTCCCCCTCCTTCATAAAGATTTTAAGCTAGTATTTGTGGGCACATTATCTTTCCTTCCCCCTAAACCTCTGTGTCTCCATTCATTAAAGCCTGTTTTTTTTTTGTTTGTTTGTTTTTGTATTTTACTCTAGTTATGAGATTGTTGTGCCCCTTTGTCAGACATTTCCAACTCATTTGAACTATTGATAACTCATGTATTGATACATGAGCTGATTTCAGAATCTTTTTGACTAGTCACATACTAGCTGGCTACTGTTGAGGAATTTCAACTCAAATATCAGTTGGTTCCATTACCTGTAATGGAATAATTTGGACAAAAGAAAAAAGCTATTGTTATTTACTGTTGTTCATTCCTACCCTGATAACTGCTTGGGGTCTACTCAATGCACATATTGCAAAACAACTTTCTCTGTTTTGTGAACTGGTCTGTAATTAAATGGAGTGAAAATCCTTCCTCTAAATTAGCATGTGAAAAATGAGTTTCAGTTGAAGTTGTTAAATTGGTTGTTTATGTTGTAAAGAAGCAAAAACAGAACTAAAGTCTTGCTCATAGCTCTGACACTATTGCTTCTGGCATCTTTTTTTTTTTTTTTTTTTTTCCAAAACAGTGCTCTGATGCATAATATCCCAGTGATGATTTTGGTGGAAGGAAAGAGAGTATCCTTATTGCAATAAGGCCAAGGGGAAAGGGACTGCCAGCCTGCTGGAGCCGACTCTTGGTTCCAAAACGGTCCTGGTCCCCATGGGAAGCTGGCGGGAACAATTTCCAGGAAAGCCCGGAGAGGTGGCTGGCCAGCTGAGGAGCTCAACAAATGGGTGCTGACATGGGGAGAGGATTGGAGAGTGCTTAGATGATGCATGTGCTTGTGTTCATCTGCTGTGGGATATTTCTGCAGCTGGCTGAGCCAAAGCTATCGAGCATTTCTTGGAGAAAATCATGGAGAACCAGGGAGAGCCAGAGATAAAGAGCTGATACCGTGCAAACCTGTGTCAGTTTAAAAAATTGGTGAAAACCTGGAAGGGAAAAAAAAAAAAAAACCCCAACTTGGCTTGCTTCTGGAAATTAATATTAAACAAGTTATTTGTTGTAGTCTGCTGTGCATGTGTGTGTGTTATGATTTAAATGTCGAAGTTGCCGGGGAACAGCCAGGATGAGTTTGCAAAGATTACATGAAAATAACCTGATTTCAAGACTTGAAGTAGGGGATGGCGTCAGGTGCTCTTACTAACAAAGTACCTAGATAGTACCTAGGTTAACTTGTATGTAAAGAATTGGAAAGAGAGAAAGTAATTGGAACATTCTCAAGATAGGAGCTAGGAGTACAGGTACCTGGAATCATGAACACGTCGCATTTTACTGGCAGATCAACTTTCCTGCCTGACACGCTGCTGCTGCTACCAAATGAGCACCTGGCAAATGGGGGATGTGTGAGGAGGTGCTCATGTTGTGGCAATTGATGAACAGCATCTGAATGTTGAGGCTGAGGAAAGAATTGTACGTAGTAGAAGCAGCTGAAAATATTTAGCTGTAGCTTTGAAGCTTTTCTCTCAGTGTTAAGGTTGTCAGTTTATGCTAACAATTCTTATTTATAAAGGCTAATAGATATTATAAATATCTACCTAAAATCTATTTTCAAAGTCTAGTGTGTAAGTCTAAATTATAAGAAATTGTGCAAATAAATCATGGTGTGTTTGGTGGGAGGACTGAGGAGGACAGCGCTTGCATGCGGGCATTGGGCAGGAATGGCATTGCCACGTAGCCATTCCTGTGATGGTGACTTTTCAGGAGCTGGCCCTGCACCCACACGTGCCCGTGTACGCTCACCTTGTGCCATCACCATAGATTTTGTCTGTTTGGGTTGGCTGAGGCAAAGTCAAAAATCCTGCACGTGGGTAATTAACCTCCCCCCCACGGGCTCAACAGGGTTCAGTTTAAATGGGGGAGTTTCAACACATGCCAAACTACGAAGCCAAAAAATTGCACAAATTGCATATTTTATTAAATATCTTGATCAGTGAAGGAGAGTGAGACTCTCCTTGCTCCTTTTGCTCCCTGATGCTCGCAGCACAGGCAGGGGCCCTGCACCGAGTCTGCCTGCAGCATAGCAGCTTCCTCGTCCTCGCTCAGAAACCAGCACGAAAAATGTACTCCAAAGCCAAAATTGCTTCCTAAATAATTCATATATTTGCTAAGAGAGCTTGAAGGGTTTTAAAATTCATATTTTATGTCACCGTGTGTATTTTATGGTTAACCATAATTACAGTGTTTCTGTCTGTGGTGCAAGGGAGTGTTTATTAGTTCTTAGAATGAATCTACTGTTAATTTAGAATTGTTTGAGGTGGTTGCTGTTTCATTAGTGATGATAAAATACTTGTCGGTAGGATGTTGATAATTTCATAGAAATTTTGAATGGTAATGGTGTCTTTTTTCCTTCTTCCTTTTAGCTCCAGGGTTTAAGCCACAATGTTATTTTCACTTTGGATTCCCTGTTAAAAGGAGACTTAAAGGGTGTTAAGGGGGTAAGTGTTGAAAACTAACTATGTTTATGGAAATGTTATTAGTTTCAACTGTCTTCTGGCTGCTTTCTATTCACCCGGGAGATTGTTTCTAACTTTGGTATCCATTAATATTTCTGTATCTAGTCCAAAGAATAAATTTAAAATTGGCATGAGTACAATTTCAGTTGCTTCTTTGAAATATTGGAAAGCACTGCTTTACAAGGTTCGAAAATAACTTTTTTAAAATAAAAAAGCTATTTGAAATTTTTAAGGGAAAGCTTTAAAAAGTGCTATTAGTGCCTTCCAATGATGTTTTAAAGACAATGTTAAATATATTTTAAGCAAATTTTCTGTTTCCCAAGGACCTTAAAAAGCCTTTTGACAAAGCCTGGAAGGATTATGAAACCAAATTGTAAGTATTTTTTTCTCCCCCTTCTGCTTTTGGTAACTCAAACGAGTGTACTCTTCAGTGTGACTTTCAGCCTTATGCTCTTGTGTTTTTGAATCTTAAATCCTGAAAGTGAGTCAGGATTTATGGATACAGCTTCTTCCCCAGTGTTCTTGGGTGAACAAAGGTTTATAAGAAGAGTAAGTTGGAAATGAACATTAACAGCAATCTTAGCTCTCAGAAAGGTTGCTGAAATGGCTCAGAGTGGAGCCGCTTCGCCAGAATTTGGTTATTTTCGGGAGTCCATTCCTGTGTCCTTTGTGTCCTTTTATGTTTTTCAGATTTATTTTTAAAATAAATAGTATTCTCTTTTTTTCTCTTGTGTTGGAAACCTGATTTTACTTAGCAATGGCAAATCCAGTTAGTCTATATTAGACCACTAAGAAGGACACACTGCAAAGCTCTACCTGAGAGCCGCAGAGTAACTTTTTAATTCCTTATTTTCGTTTTACTGTTAAGCTTTTTCTTTGCAATGTTTGCTTTCCATGTCAGTGTAATGATTAGAAGACATAGCATTTAATATGTGCTTTGATATGTGTATTACATTTAATGTGCTACCTTGTTACTTGTTTTAATTCCTGCATAACGAGGCATGAAACCATGAAACTTGTTTGTTCAGTATATTCTGATGTTTTCTTGCAGAGTGAGTTTAGTTTCTTATTATGTTTGTTTTACACTGCAGTAGTATATTGAGATGGGGCCTGTATGGTGGAACACATCACCTTCTTTTCTTCCACGTAGCCAGCAAACTAGAGAAAAGGTGTAAAGGATGCAGGAACGGAAGGGAAGCTTCTTGGCTCTATTACTTCTGGGCACTTGAAAGAGGAAAGAAAACAAGACAGTAGCATTTTGGGAGAACTCATGTTCAGAATGGCTTCTTTAATACTGTACTATTTCTTTTTGTAAGAATGAATATTATTAATCTTAAACTTATCCTAATTGAAACTTCAGTACAAAAATTGAAAAGGAGAAACGAGAACATGCCAAACAGCACGGGATGATACGAACGGAGATAACGGGAGCTGAGATAGCAGAGGAGATGGAGAAGGAAAGGAGGCTTTTTCAGCTGCAGATGTGTGAAGTAAGAAACAAGTTTCAGCCTTCGTTTATGATCCCGTAACTTAGATGTGCTCTGTGGGTTTGACCTGAAGGTGGTGACAAAATCTTTTCTGTCAGGTAATGGGGACGAGGGGAAGAAACAATTTCCCTGCCACATAGTAGAACGTTATTAAGATATTTGTTTTAACAACTCTATTAAAACCTGGATTCCTCTTATTTTACTCATTTTATTTGTTTTGGGGTTATTGAGCTAAGGTTCTTGCGCTGAAAATAAACCATGGTAGTATTTATTTTTCAGGTGTAGTGCTTCAGGAAGACAGTTTTGGTTATCTTTTTCCAACCTACTTTCTGAAGCCTTTTACAAAATTCCTAATCAGCTGATAAACGATGATGATGAGGATGCATTATATCTATAAGAACTGATTTTTAGTAATTAAAATTAGTAATTGTCTGCATTACATGCATTACATGCAGTTTCTTTAAAGTGCGTAGTATTTATTTTTGAAAGATTGCTATATTTAAACAGCATTAAGAAAAGATGTTTTATTTTGTCTGCATTTTTCTGTTTATTTTAGGTTAACTTGATTTTTTTTCTTCTTTTTTAATGAATGACCAAAAGCTGACTTGTCTCTATTTTGCTTTACGACGATGGGCTGATGATTTGAGTACGCCCAGTTAAATACAGAGATAGTTAGTTCATTGAACAAATGACTGTTGTTGTTGGAAAATAATTGAAGAATGTAGTGCATGTTTATTAACATATTTGTTATTTTCTGTGCAGTATCTTATTAAGGTTAATGAAATCAAGACAAAAAAAGGTGTGGACCTTCTGCAGAATCTTATTAAGTATTATCATGCACAATGCAAGTAAGTGTAACATTTTTAAACTTGATGACAGTATTTAATTTGCAAGATTTTTTTTTTTTGATGTATTAAGGTATTTTCATCATCAGGAAGTGTAGTTCTGTTAAATGTCTTCAGCGTACTTTCAGTCGAGAGTACGAATACAACTGGGAGAGGGAGGGAGATGGAGAAAAGAGGCCAAAGAATTTTCCCTCGGAAGGTAACTTTAGTTCCTGAAGTCTAGAATATAATTTCAGGGATAGCTTGTTTATTCTTTGTAATAGTCTGTTATGTAAATCTTCAAACTGCGTGAAAGCAAGTGATTCCTTTGAAGCTCCATGAGGTAAAACTGTCAAGCTGTGACCTTTTTTATCAGTAGAAAAAAGACAAACAGGCAGGAACCTTCATTTAATATAAGCTAAGTAAAAGAAAAATATTTTTGCTCTAGGGAAACATATTGACTAATAGTACCCAAAATAAACTAGGCAATATTCTGTCTAATTTGGTATCTGTGAAAGCCATAATACTGACTCTTCATTATTGAAAGGTGCCCTACTTTAAAGCCACTGGGAAGGGCAATGTCTTTTATTAAGCTATTAAGCTAATGAATTCAGCAGTATGACTAATTTGAATATGAAGTAGCATTTGTAGCATTTTGTGAGGTTAGCGTTTTTTTTTTTTTTTTTTTTTTTTTTTTTTTTTGCAATATTGAATGCCTGATATGGATTAGTTCTGTTCTTCATGTCCTAGCATGGGAGCTACTGATCATATAACACATTTGGGTCCTCATATCTTTATATAGTAAGAGCCATTCAGCAAGGCAGATTGTTTCAGGCCTCAGAAGTATCTTGGTATTAGAGCACTGTGGAAGTTGTGTTGTTTTGTGGTTAGATTGATAATAAAACTGTTCAAATTGGCACTGGGATTGATTATTTCTAGATTGATTGGGAGGAGCTGGATAAAATGCACTGGCTTGCCAGAAGGGGGCGGGGGGGCGCTTGTGTAATAAACTGTTCAGGATTGCTCCTGATAAATCACATGTATTTTTCATTACAGTTTCTTCCAAGATGGCTTGAAAACAGCTGATAAACTTAAACAATACATTGAAAAGTTGGCTGCTGATCTGTATAATGTAAGTTACTTGTAAGTAGTTCAATGTCTGAATGTGGAAAAGTGTTTTGTTTTCTTATGAGTTCAGATTAGATGAGGGAAAAATGCACATTTTATCCTTGTATTTTAGAAATAAGAAGTGTGTTCTTTAAAGTTTTAAATACACCTAGAGTGAAGGAAAATCATCCTGGCTTATCTTAAACTTTATATTTGATAGCTATAGTTATCATGAGAGAAAAACAGCTTTTTATTTTATTATTATTAATTTAATGTTTCATTGAAATAAACCTAATTTAAAATGAGAATATTCAGTTCAGATCACATTACCCTTTTTAGCTACCTTAGCTACCTTTTTTTTTTTTTCTTTTTCTCTCTAACAAACTGCTTGGAGTTAGTGCCATCTTTTTGAGTAAATTAATTTTCCAGTGCTGTTCGTGGAAGGCAAGTAACAATGAAAAACCAGAGCTTGTTTGTCACGCAAGTGCTTTTTAATTCTATAATCAGAGTGCAGTAATCCTATTTGCTATTACAGTTTGTGGATAAACTGAACTATGTTTTCATTCCTCCATTCAAAAGTAATCTCTCAAGCCTATTGGAGTTGCTTAATTATTTGTTCAAACAGTTGCATGAGATGTAATGAACCATTAAAGCATAAAAGAACAGGGCATGTGGAGTGGTATATTCATTTTTGCTTGCTTTTGAACTAATACTGGTGCAGAGAGATAATATCTTAAAATGAGCATATCCATGGAAAAAAAAACAAAACCAAAAACCCCTCAAGAATCACAATATAAGTGAAGATGGAAGGGACCTCTTGTGGATCAACTAGTTCAATCACTCAGAGCAGGGCGAGCTATCAGGTTATTCAGGACATATGGTATATTGGAGTGCATAAAATTTGGAATAAACACTGTGCCTGTAATGGCAATGTCTTTCTACAGATAAAACAGACACAAGATGAAGAAAAAAAACAGCTTACTGCTCTCCGCGATTTGATTAAATCATCTCTGCAGCTTGACCAGAAAGAGGTAAATAATTTAGACTTGTTATTCTCACATAGAATATGAATTGATGCAGATTTTGAACTGAGAAATATGCTTAGTTCATGCAGGCATAGTTATTCTTCAGGAGAGTTGTCATATATAGTGACATTCAACATATATAGTGAATATAGCATATATAGTAAACACAGCATTCAACAAAACTAGTATGTAGAATATCAAACTACATATCAGCAAATAAAAGTTTTAGGTTATTTTTAAATTTCTCTTTATCATATAAAGAAAAATAATGATCTCTTTCATGAAAGAGGACAGTGATGAATCATGATAGTATTTCCGTGCAATTTTATAATTGAAAAAATACGTAAAAATGCAAGAACAGTTGTTATAGGTCAGATGAATGCTTCTTCATTTCCAATACTTTAGAAAAAATACAAAGTGATGGGATGCATAAATCTTGCTAATATTCTGGCATCCTCCAGCCAGGCTGTGTTCGGTCTTCCTGAACCAGGTGGTGCTCAGAAGGTCAGAATGAGAACTGGGGACTCGCTTTTACCTGTGTTTTCCATGTTGTTTATCTGCTGCCCCACATGGGTTCTGTGATGATGTATCTCTTCCCATTCCCTTTCTCTTAATGTTCTATATTAATGTATGTGATGGATAACTTATATCTTAACCAGATGAAAGTGCCAGAGTGGTTAAAGGGGGGGTGGGGTGGAGGGTGTATGCAAAACAAGTTGTCCTGTGGTATCACTGTGGTATCAGATGTGAAGGGGGAACTCGCACAGTGTCTGCTGCAGATGCAGATGTGAAACTCTTAGAACTGGGGGTGAGGACACAAACAGTTTTTATTTTATTTATATATATGTAACTTTATCCAAGTCATTGTACCCGATAGGCAGAAATACTCATATGCTGAAGCACTACAGAGCCCCTTTGAATAGATGCCAATTTATTCTAAGACCTGCCAGCTCCTCCTAGCTCTGTTTTCCCTTATATCAGTTTCTACTTTATTTATCTATATTCTTTGGTTTACTTGTCCTTCATTTGTCACATTGCTATGTTCCTTCTTGATCTCTTCCATAGAACATCCCATATGCAGATTACACTTGTAATCTACCTGCTGTCTAAAATTGTTTCTGAACGGGAATGTTTGCCATTGTCAAGCAAAAGTTAAACAAAGAGCATTGGCGTCCAAGAACTACTACGAAATAACTTTTAAATTCTAATTTTACTAGTTTTCTCTGGTGGATTTTTAAGGTTTCTGAAGTACTGCTGTCAAAAACTACTTTGGCAGAGAATGAATCAGTTGTTTGAAGTAGTGGAATTGAAACCCTGTCTGTGTGTAACTGAGGTTCCAATGACCCTTTGTATAAGTGAAAGAAATCAAAACCAGTGATTCCTGACCAAACTGATGCAAGTTTTACCAGCTTTATACTTGCTGGCACCCCTGTTAGATAAATGATGCTTCCTGCCATGTCAGAATGACTTTTCATCGCAAAGATGACTGAAGAGATTGTGTATGACTCTTAAATTCATTAAAGCATATGGGATCTCCTCGTATTAAAAAATGTGAATGAAAAACTGCTCTTCAGCACCCATGCATTCATTCAGTAAAAAGTATACAAAAAAAAACCCTTCCCCTGTTGAGGAATGTTGTCCTACCACTGACACACTAATCCAGCTCAACTTCATTCTCTACATTTCTAAGGTCTCTTAATGCAACTTTTCTTTTACCTTTGCTTATGGTGGCTGTGTGTAGCATTATAACCACTTCTACTCATTTTGATAACATACCTGTCCCTGTATCAGTGAAAAAACATTCCAGAAGTCTTTGCAGTTGCCCCTTTCTCAGAAAAAACTTGTCTTGATAATCTTGGAATCTCAAGTTGTGCAGAGTGCTGGAGCTTTGCTCTGGGCACTGTGGTTTGTGAGGGCTCTGCTACACATGGTGTCTCATCCTGTTCATACCAAACACTCTTGGGATCAATTTACTGCAGTCTCTGTAATTTTTGTGTAAGAATTACCAGCCTTCAAAAAATCACTGCACTTGATAGCTTTGGAGATGTCTTTTTCATGGAGTAGTAATATAATTTTAATAGTAGTAATATAATTTTATTTTGTATGTAAAATGCTGTTTATCAAGCTTAAGGAAGAGTAAGCTGAGAACCTCTTAGTTGATAATTCTTGCTGAAATTCCACTGCAGCCATGCTGCTTCCAACCTCAACTGCCCATTTAACAAAAGTACCTTTCTCTAGATTTACCCAACAGATTTGCTGCAGGATGAAAAATGTCTGCAAGAACCCAAACTAAAATAGGAAAGCATAATCTTCAATATGTATTACTCGAGGAAATTATAAGAAAATGCACTTTGAAAGAAAAAAGTTACGTCACCTTGTGGCATTCTTGGTTATTTTTAATAAGCCCATTTCATAAATGTAAAGTTACTGAAAAAAATTCATTGAAGTGTAAGGTTGCACAGAACTTGGTTATGCAGTTTTGTTTTTGTGAATAAAAATCTCAGTGTGCCTAAATAAAAAAATAATAATAACAAAAAATGGTGCCTCCTTTCTAATAATGCCTTTGGAAGTGGGACGGCCAGTTTTTCTGTTAAATATGAAGACTAAGTGTTTTTTTAATAAAATAATAATTCTCTTTTAAATGCTTTTTCTCTTCTTTGCTTTTGCCTTTCGTGATCGAAGTCTAGGAGAGTAAGTCAATGTTTTAATGAACTTCTGGGATTTTCTCTGCTGTGCTTATAACATGTTAATCAATTGACTTCACTTAATTTTTTATTTAATGAAAGAATTATTTCTGCTGACTTGATTGACTAAAACTTACGAACTGCATATATCTTTTTAATTGGATTTCAAGTAAATATGTTTATTAGCATTGGTGGTTTTGAGTTTGTGTGCATTTCTAAATGTATCCTATATTCACTTTCTTTTTGCAGTTTGAGATTAGTCTCTTTTCTTTAGTTATCAGATTATGCAATATTAAATATTTATTTAAAAGTCATTATTTTGAGATATGTATCTGTATCCATAGCTTACTCGGCTCACTTAGGTCATGAACACTGATTAAGTCTTGGTTCAAAGTCAGATAATATAAGAGCAAGCTCTCAAATATAACATGTACATTAGGAATTCTCTTTTTTTTTTTTTTTCTTTTAGTATTAGCTTGTGAACAGCATTAACTTGTGGGCATAAGATAAAGTAAAATAGTAAAATTGGCTTAAAGGTTAGGAAAACTATGCAAAACTATGCAAAAGTATTGATGGCATTTTCCCTTTTGCAGGATTCACAGAGCAGGCAAGGAGGTTATAGCATGCATCAACTTCAGGGGAATAAGGAATACGGCAGCGAGAAGAAAGGTTATCTCCTAAAGAAGAGCGACGGGTAGGTGCTTGGAGTGGGTGATACAAAATGAACCGTTGCTGTTTCTACATACTGATTTTATGCACTTTGTGTGTGCTTAAAGCCCATTCTCCTAATGCATGTCTTGAGTATCCATAATTTCAGAATGTGAATCTGGCCCCACATATGAGGTCAGTTAATTTTAATAACTATAGTAAATATTGAGAATAGACAAGAAGAGCTTGTTTAAAGATGACTTGTCATAAATCTCTCAGTTGCTTCTGCTTCGTAAAATTTTGCCTGGATCTGTTGTTTTCTCAAGCATAATCTACTCAATATGTTAGTGGGGTTAAAAATATATTTTGAAATGCAGATCTTGTTACTGGTTTTGTTTTTGTTGTTCTTATGTAGTCTAAGGAAAGTTTGGCAAAGAAGAAAATGCACTGTTAAAAATGGAATTCTTACCATATCACATGCAACGGTAAGCTGTTTTTGTATCTTTAATTAAAATGATAAATTAACATTTTCCTTTCCAAGTGATGGGACTGGTGTTCATCTGTTACTGAGGAAAAAAAAAAAAAAACCCTGTGGACTTACGAGTTTTTCTTAAACCTTCTGTTTGCCCCCGGCCCTTTGTTGTTATAGTTCTTGACAGCTGATTAAACACTTAATGTATTGACTAGTAATTTGCTAGGAAAATGGAAATCAGTCAACTGTTCTTACTTATAAGCATTGTCACTGTACATCTCAAGCACTTAATTTGGGGCTTTATATATTTGGGGCTTTATATATTTATGAATTTGTAAAGAGGGATGAATGTGTAGATATTTGTCCTGCCAAACTTTTGATAAGGCAGGAAATAAAGTTCTAGATTTTGTGAGTCCCCCCCCCCCTTCATATTTGGTTTATAGTTTTTTATGCCAACAGTTTTCAAAACTCAGTTCAGAAAGAGTTACTGGTAACTGGCAACTTGTGCTCTGGTAGCAGCCGCCAGCCGTGTTGACTTTCATCTGGTAGCTATGCAGCTCTTCATTAAACCTGTATAACCATAATACTTTTAAGACTTGTTTAGTTGTCATGACTTAACCTAATTATGGCAGATAATTTTGGTGGTTGTGTTTGCTCAAAACTGATCTCCAGAGCTCAGCTCCTCAGTGTGTGGTGCTGCACGTTCGTAGGATTTGTGCCCTTCCAAAACAAACTCATTTAAATCTCACCCATAGCAAGCATAACGCATGCCAATCAATTGAAAAAGTAGTTGAAAAGGAGTGCTATATCCTCAGTTATTGGGGCTGCTTTACTGCTCCCCCCCCCCTGCTTTTTTTTTCCCTGCTGCTCTATTTCTAATTGCCTCAAACTTTGCTTTCCTCTGCCTGTCTCTTTGACCATGTGTATTTTCTGCAAGAAGTTGATAATGTTCTACATGTCATAACACAGTAAATTACAGACTTACATGCAGCTGGGTTAGGTATAAAGATTCAGGAAAGTTTTCAAAATGACAGACCTCAATGGTGTTAATGTTTCTCAGGGAGAAAAAAAAAACTGGTACTATATATTTTAAGTGCTTTCTATGCAGAGCCGTATATTAGAAATTAAAAAGGTGACAAAACAATAACATAAATTGCTCATATGGGGCGTTTTTTAAAATCAGTGTTAGTAGTATTCTTTCCCTTTGGAATTTTTAGGTTTCTATTTTTGATTATTTAAAATAGGAGGAAAATCAGAATATGAGCATGCTGTAATTAAAAATAATAATAATAAAGTAAGAGTTTACCATTGCTTTTCAAATACAATAAAATTAAGTACTAGTATATTATAAATTCATGTTTATTCTTTTAATCCCTATGAAGTAGCCAGGAAGAGTTGCTGCGAAGTTTCTAATTTTGTTTGAAATCTGTCCATTTGGGTAAATTGCCATACTACTTGTGTGTGCACTCCTATTTTAAATTAGCATCACACGTGCACACACCTCAAAGGAAAAACAATCCTATAGCAAGATATTTTTAAAGTAAAATAAATGTTTTTTTTTTTTTTTTTTTTAGTCTAACAGGCAACCAGCTAAACTGAATTTACTGACCTGCCAAGTGAAGCCAAATGCTGAAGATAAGAAGTCTTTTGATCTAATATCACGTATGTAGCAACTTCAGGTTCTTCCAGGTTCAGTGAGATGTTTGGTGATGGGCACAACACGCGTAAGCAGCGTAGGCCAGGAAGGGGAAGAGACCTGTGATCTCCTCTTCATTTGTGCCACTATCTGCTGTGCTTATTGAGCCTTCTTCTGATGGCACAAGGAGGGTAGTCAAGAAGGTCTCAATTTCTCTTTTTTTTTCATTAAAATAATTTGTCCTTCTTAATATTTAATAGCTTATTGCAAACAATTGTTTTGTAAATAAGTTAATGTTGCAGCTTGGTTAATTGCTTCTAATATCTTTATTTGCCAATTTATTAGTAACAAAAAGTTTGATTTTTATAGTTTATGTCCCAGGCATAAGGATGTATTTATTTATTTCAGATAACAGAACATACCACTTCCAGGCAGAAGATGAACAAGAATACGTAGCGTAAGAATGTTTATTTTATTTTTATTTATTTTTGTCATTAAAGGGGTTCAGGATTGTAAATATCACTGGAAATAGTTTTCTCAGCTAATGGCAAAATACTGCCTATTTGTCTCTTCTGTTGTGGTGAATGTGTAGACGTGAATGGTCTTGTGTTACCAAGGCACAAGGCTGCAGGGCTCTTTGAAAACCCTTTAATACAAACAAGCAAATAAAACCCCCACAATCCCTTTTTCCCTCCACCTTCCCCTCCAAAAAAAAATCAGCCAACCAAAAAAAGTGTTGGTTTAGGTGTATGTTGCAATTACCTTATTCAAGTGCATTTGCTTGGCATGAAATAGTAGGCCAGCTTGTTAGGGTTCACATGAAGCGTTTTGAAAATCTTCTTAAATCCTCCATTTCGATTCTTGCAGTTTCTTCCTGGTCATGCTGCCTTTATCTCCATATTAAAAATAGTAAATGGAAAAAAAAGATGTACATACTACATAAAAAATATTAAAAGGCAATGGAGCTTTTCCGATGTAGGTTCAGAAATGGGCAACAATCCTTATCTCAGAGTTTTAATGGACTCCAGAATGCAACAACTTTCTTCCTTAACGCATGTTTCCCACCAGATTGTTTCGTTAAAACCAATCTTTCCTCCTGCTAAGTCAGAACTGCTTCTAGTCTGGGGCTCCTCTCCCGAATATTGCAATTGCTGCCATCGTTGCAGTCTGTCTTACCAGCTGACAAGTGTGGGAATCAAGTTGCTGGTGCGAAGTGAGAACTGAGCCTCCCGGGCTGCCTGGGAGCTGCTGTGCCCCTTTCTTAGCGGAGGGCTCTGGCGCCGCGTGTGTGTGTTTAAGGTTTGGGAAATACCTGCGGGGCCTTCCGATGGTTTGGCTGGACAGGATTTTTACGTAGTTGAGGTTCATGAACTGAAATGCCTGTAAATGTTGCATTTTTTTCCATAAACATAATTGTTCTGTTTTTCTTACTCAGCTACTGAGTAGTTCCTTAACAGCCTTATTAGATAAGGTGCCATGCGAACATTATCCTTTGATTTACGGAATTTTTGGTAATTCTGTTCTATAATTCCTCAATTCATTGTCATCCTCTGGTTCCATTTTTCACATACGTATATGTGCCTTTTCCTACTCTTTCTCCACCCAAAAGCTTCGTGTGTTGCCTTTCATTCACCTCTGTCTTCTTGCTGTCTCTGTCCTGTCCTTTTTTGTCTGTTGCGCCATTAAGAAATAAATGCATAAATACATTTTCAAATCACTTTTCTAGCCTCCCATCTATGTAGAATACAAAGCAAGATAACATTCTGTTACTCTATTCTTAAATTTCCTTCCTTCGTTTCATAGTGATTGTTTTGAACTGATTCCATGAATATTTTACCAAAAATCTTAAAAACAATACTACTAATAGACAGATTTTTAAACATAGCTCACATTTGGTTATAGATACATTACTACTTTTTCAAACATTCCCTTAATCCGGTCCATTTCTTGACTCTTTTCCAGTGAGTGCTCTATTGATCCTGAATTACTGATTGGCTGTCAGTTTAAAATCCTCAATAGCTTTCATTAATTTCATATTAATGTTTATTTTATTTTTACATACATATTTTATTAATATATGTATATATATATCTAAAAGGAGATACCTTTGAATCCCTAAAATATAAGATATCTTTAACACATATAGTAGTAAATACTTTTTACTTTTGATGCTGTTGCTAGGGCCAAGTATACTGTGGGTTTTCAGTATTCCCAATTTTGAAGCTGAAGAATCCAATTCTTTAAGAAAATATGGATTAAATAAAGCTAAATTAAGCAGTACAAGATGGAGCAACCCATTTAATTGTATTAGATAGTAGTGATAGTGTATTAGATAGATAGTTATGTGAGATCTGAGTCATTCTTAAATTATTTGAAAGAACCACTACAAACTGAAAAGATGCCTTTATTTTATTATTATTATTATTATTGCCTTGTAGGTTGATTTTGGTGTCATTTTGGAATATAGAAAATATTGATATTAATCATTTTTAGGATAATAAGAAAAAAAGAGCAGCAGCAATAAGGCAGCGTTTTTTCCCTGTTGACATTGAGTTAATGAGCCATACTTACTGATTTGACTGTTTGAGATTTTTTTAAATATACAGTGTGCCAGGAAGGCCTACGGGGACTTTAGCTCAAGCAGGCTTAGCCATTAAGGCTGTCTCCCTTCTTGCGTTTGTGTTCAGTTGCCCATGAGGATGTCTAGGAAGAGCAGACCCGGTGGTGCCCTTTGCTTTGACTCTTCAACAGAGAACAGCAGTAAAATAGTCTGAGATGGGGATAGTGAGGGAAACTAAACCCAAATATGTGCTATGGTTTAGTAACTCTTAAAGTGGATATCTTTATAAACTAAAAGTTGGCTTAGTTAGGTTGTGCTTATTTTATTTATATCTAATCCTTTCTTCATTGTTTCAACGTGCTTGAGTTTTATTCAACTTCTGACTTCTTTTAAACAAACCAATCAAACTTTAACCATGAAGAAAATTGCCAACAGGTGTCCGAATAAATGTCTGTCTGTAACAGTTATTTAATTCTGTATTTTTAACAGCTTTATAATGTTATATACTAATATAACATTAGTAGCTAAAGATGCAGCCTCTTCTTTTTTAATATCCTTGGATTTCATCAGCAAAATTGCAGAAGAATGCCATCTAGTGCATGTTCAAATATTTATCTTATTATAAATGCTGTGAATACTCCTGTGTGTTTATGTACACTGATACACGTCTGTATAAAACACATGGTTTTCATCATGTAAAACTTTTTAAAAAAACTTAAGTTTACTTTTACTATTTTTTTTTTGGTTTGCCAACAATCTTTTAAATAAAATCCTCAGATTATTGTCAGTCCATAAAGATTAAAATCTGCATGTATGTGAAGTATAAAATATAAAGTGCACAAACTTGAAATATATAAAGTGCCCATATTCACTCTGTGAACCTGCTTTGCAGGCTTATTTAGGAAACTTGGCCACTGTAATCCTTTAAAGTTCAAATTTCCTTCATTATTTTGTTGAGGGACTGTGAATTAAGTGTGAAGTTATATTCCTAACACATCCAGCTGCCTATAGCCATTCTGTGCCTTGAAGAGGAATGTTGAGTGAAGATGACTGTAATATTGTAAGCAGGAAATGGATGGAGGATGCAGCCAGTTTAAAGTAGTTTTTCCGCCTAAAATGTAGTTCTTGTAAACTTAATCACATTTAAAAGCACTCGAGA